ATAAAATAAAAATATATATATTTTGCTGATCTAACCCAAAAAAGGGGTATAACTTTGATTGATTTACAAAAAAGATTAATTACCTACCATTTTTACTCCAATGTTACTTTTTTAAAAATCAGGTGCCCATCCCGGCTGGGGTGGCTCAATGGTTGAGCATTGACCTATGAACCAGGAGGTCACTTGGATTCCTGGTAAGGCTCGATCCCCAATAGGAGGCAGCTGATTGATGATTCTCATAATTGATGTTTATATCTCTCCCCCTCTTTCTGAAATCAATAAAAACATTTTCTTTAAAAATCAGGTGCCTATACTTGAATATAAGGATTTCTGGTACCAAGAATTAACCAGTCAGACACAACCTAATTATGTGATGTGACCAATAAGATGGAACTATATAGTTCAAGACAGCATTCATACCGGCAGCCATGGTTATGTTGGCTGTTGTCATATTCTTATTTGACAATCTACCTTAGATCAGTGGTTCTCAACCTTGGCTGCACATTAGAAGCACCTGGGAGTCTTTTTAAAATCCTGATTTCTGGGCCTCATCCTCCGGAAATTCTGTTTCTTTGTTATGGGGTGAGGCCACAACATTAGTAACAAAGAAAAAGAATTTCCAGAGGATGAGGCCCAGAAATCAGGATTTTAAAAAGATTCCCAGGTGATTCTAATGTGCAGCCAAGGTTGAGAACCACTGATCTAAGGGAAAAGAGATCAGTGCCCCTGACTAGATAGTCAGGTGTTGCATGTTTTAAAAATTATTGTGGCACACCGGTTGAAAATTGCTGGATTAGAGCATTCGCCACTGTCTGGTCTGGCTTTCATCCTTGCCCCCATATAGTCTCAACCTAATAGCCAGAGGCATCCTGTTTAAAGTGTGTAAGTCAGGTCTAGTCACTGCGTAGAGCTCCTGATGGCTCCTGTCTCACTCAGACTAAAACCCACAGTGATCACGAGGCCCTGTAAGGCCCCCACAATCTGGCCTCTGACCTAATCTATTACTACTCTACCCCAGTTCAATCTGTTCCAGCCACACTGGCCTCCTGCTGTTTCTTGAACATGAGAGGTACTCTCCTGTCTAAGCTCCTTGCACTGACTCCTTTTGTAATGTAGCTTATAGTATGAACATTTTCAAATATACAGAAAAGTCAAAAGAGTAGAATGATGAAAACCTATATAGACATCAGCTAGATTCCATAATGGCTTTATTTCTCTGTGTAGACATGAACACACACACCTATTTTTCTGAACCCTTTGAAAGTAAGTTGCAGGCATGACCTTGAGTTGCGTGGTGCCAAGAGATGGCAAGTGCTAGCTCTCAGAGGCTCCACCTAAGGAATTAATTTCCATGTTACCTTGGGTATAAACTAGATCCCAGGAAAGATGCTTTCTTTTCACATATGACTTTTCCATCCTGAATCAGGGGAATCTATTCATCTGCCTCAGGTTGTTGGGCCTGGAAAATTCCCCAGATCCGAAGGTCAATCCTAAAGCCCAAAGAGAGAATGAAAAGTTTTGCTCTGCACAGGCAGAAGTTAATGGGCTGATCTTCTCTACCATTCTGACTTTTGAGAATGTTATACTGTTTGAACAATAAGTAAGAAGAACAACGAATGTTCCCAGGAGACAACCAACAGCCTAATAATAATAATAATAATAATAGAAAGAAGAAACTTCCCAAGAGCCAACAGCTTTTCAGTTTATTCCTGGGGCCTTTCTAGGGATATGCTCATGTATTTTTCTTAGCTTTTCTAGCAGTAGTGAACATGTGTAATCAGTGATGTGCTGATAAATGGTTAACAACTAGCTCCTTGGG